CTAATAATATAGGCAGCATTTATTTCTGTGTTTTTAAATATTTGTTTCGTTTTTAATCATCTTTCTCTCTCTCCCTCTTTTTCTACCTCTCTCCCTCCCTCCTTCTCTCTTTCTTTCTATGTGTGTGTGTATATGTGCCATATATTTGTGGCTGTAGGTAGAGGCAAGATACATTGTATTCCGGAGAGCTGGAGTCACAGGCAGTTGCAAGAGCCCTGGCTTGGGTACTAGAACTCTACCTTATATCCACCAGAAGAATAACACTCACTCTTAACCACTTGAGCCATTTATAAAGTTCCAGTATTCCTCCGTTGAGGGACATCTGGGTTTTTTCCAGATTCTCGCTATTACTAATGGAGTTGCTACAAACATGGTTGAGCAAATGTCTTATTGAATGGTGGGGTATCTTTTGGGTATATACCTAGGAGTGGTATAGCTGGATCTTCAGGTAGCATGATTCCTAATTTTCTGCGGAAGTGCCAGATTGATTTCCAAAGTGGTTGTACTAGGTTACACTCCCACCAGCAATGGAGGAGGGTTCCCCTTTATCCACATCCTCTCCACTGGGCATCACCCCTTGAGTTTTTGATCTTAGCCATTCTGATGGGTATAAGGTGAAATCTCAGGGCTATTTTGATATACTTTTTCCGAATGACTAAGGACATTGAGCATTTCTTTAAGGGTTTCTCTGCCATTCTATATTCCTCTGTTGAGAATTCTATGTTTAGTTCTGTACCCCATTTTTTTTAACAGAAAGTGTGGTATATTTACACAATGGAATACTACTCGGCAATTAAAAACGAGGAAATCATGAAATTTGCAGGCATATGGTGGGAACTAGAAAAGATCATCCTGATGAGATAACCCAAAGGCAGAACGACACATGAAATATACTCATTCATAAGTGGATATTATCCATATAATATAGAATAAACATACTAAAATCTATAGCCCTAAAGGAGATAAGCAACAAGGAGGACCCTAGGCAAGATGCTTAATCCTAAAGGAGAAGGGCAAACAGGATAGACATAGGAAGTAGGAGAAGACAAAGAAAGAAACCTTCCACAGAGGACATCTGAAAGACTCTACCCACCAGGGTATCGAAGGAAATATTGAGACTCATAGCCAAAGTTTAGGCAGAGTACTGGAATCCTTATGGAAGAAGGGGGAGACAGAAAGACCTGGAGAGGTAAGGAACTAAACAAGGAGAACAACAAAGTCAAAATTCCTGGGCCCAGGGAGTCCTGCAGAGACCAATACTCCAACTAAGGACCATGCATGGAGAGGACTAGACCCCCTGTTCAAAGGAAGCCCATAGGCTGCTCAGTTTCCAAGTAGGTTTCCTAGTAAGGGGTACAAAGGGCATCTCTGACATGAATTCAGTGGCAGGCCCTCTGATCACTTCCCATTGGGGTGCAGCCTTTCTAGGACACAGAGGAAGATGATACAACCAGCCTTGATGAGACCTTCAGGTAGAAGGGGAGAAGGTCCTTCCCTATAAGGGGACTAGGGAAAGAGCATAGAGGGAGAATAGGGAGGGTGGATGGGACTGGGAGGAGACAATGGAAGGGGCTGCAGTGAATATTGTAATAAAAAATATATAAATTAATTAAAAAAATAAAGTTCCAGTATTCTGTTTTATAAAGTACATTTTTATAAGATGGAAATATTCTCATAAGAAAATGATAAAGGCTAATGTCAAATTATAGATATTAATATCCAAATATGAATACATGTTTGGGAAAATGAAAGGTGAGAAACAGAAATAAAATACATGAAGGAATGAACTGTGTGTGGATGCTCTCCCAGAATAGTTTAAAGAAACTTTAGAAAGCTCTGGTGATACATGCATGCCCTCCAGAAAGTAATTTCAAGTTTAAAATGAGTTATTTGCTTTTTAAATTTTACATTTCAGGACACTTGGGGTTTGTGACAGTAGTACAAGTGAGCTTAAGAAACAGCTGACACACTCTTTCTTGTCTCTTTAGTTACGATATGCAGCTCTTGAGGGCATGTCACACTAATCTCCTAAGCATGGATTTCTCAACTTTGGAGCTGTCATTTTTGTTATGAGGGATGCCATGTTCATGGCACAGTTTACAGCAGGACTCCTGGCTTCTTCCACAAATGCCTGTACTGCCCCTTTCTTCCAGTATGCCAATCTCTGCAAATATTGCCAAATGTTCCTGTGATATGAAAGCAAAATTACCTCCCTTCCTCATCTCTTCATCAATTGTTGTAAATTGATTAAGTATGATTTTGAATGATACCAATATGCTAAACTATTTCGCCTTATTAGTTTTCTCTGAAGGCTAAACTCATTTCACGGAGGCAGTACAATGAGGTTCACCCTTATCTACAAGAGTTAATTAGTTAAAATAAGACATTGGGAGTTGTTTCAACTTTATTTATTGAAAGCTATATTTCAGATAAAAAGCTTTCAATAATTTTTGACAATTGTTTTCTTAATAAGCAATTAGAAATACAAAATGATTCTGTCTTTATTGAAGAGGGAGGGAAATATTAGTAAGCAGACAAATGACAAATAACAATAATATCTATTCTAGAAGAAGAAGCAAGAAGATTGTTGAATTCAAGATCTGATTGGGCAAGACAGACTGATGCAAGGTATGTAGTGGGACTTTGTCTCAAAATCTCAAAAATAACATAGAGCAGAATAAAGTAAGACGCTGGACGTTGAACTCAGGCCTACACACACACACACAAACTTGTACACATGTAAATGCCACACTTCATAGACATATACATACAAACATTCACCAACAAATGCACACACACAAATATGTAAAAACAAAAACAGAAAAAAAAATTCTCTCCATTTTTTTTTTTTTTTTGGCCTGAAAATTATGTGATACACTTCAAGCCACTGACCTGAAGTTTTAAATATCTGAAAGTAGAAAATCATGTTTGCAAGATCAACAGAGGGAATAAAATGAAAAAAAGAAAATCACTGAGGGAACCTGTATTCCTCTGCACTAAGACAGAGGAAACTGAAAAGCGTACACTGAGGAAAAGAAAGAGGAAACCTAGTCCAAAAGCAACAACAACAACAACAACAAAAAAGCAGAAATTAAGACAGATACTTTTCCTCAAGTTTGTGCTTAACAATCAAGTGAGATTAGAGCATGCTGAGATACAGAGTCTGATACTGGAAGTCTGAGGCAATACTGATAACTTCCATTTTCAATTATCCTTATTAGCTGATAATGTTGATTGACCTGCCACACCTTTTATTATAGGATTTTATACTCTACCCTCAACACTCAACCGATAACTGAACATACACAACCCTAACTTATTTTATCATAAAGTCATTGAGATTAACAATGTTTTTTTTTAAATTAAACAATCAAAGAATAAAATAATCTCTTTACCCTAATTCTTAATATGTGGAAATCTTTTATCTTTTTCAAAAGGAAAACATATGGTAGAGTGTTGTTTTGGTCTACAAATTAATTTTAAGTGTTTAAGAAAATAGCTGCATATGTACGTATATGTGTTAGTAAAATTGTCAGTATGGAATTCATATTTCTTACATACTTAAATAGTTGGCTTCCACAATATATCATTGACATAATGGAAAAAAAAACCTCAAAAATATAAAAGCAAATTTATATATAACTTTTAGCTAAGTAGTAATATAAAAGTTCTCCAGCTCAGTCCTGAGTTTTGATTTATTTTTCTGACAATCCAAGCTGTGTTTTATCCCAATTATTTAATTCCTTTACACCTAGGGGAAAGGCAATTCCTGGCTTATTTCATTCTCTCCCTTCCAAAGCAACATGGAAGGTTTGATGATGGGTTTTGGCATTTTGTCAACGTCAAGGTGTGCCAGAAAGAAAAGCAGATACGAAGGTGACAGATGGATGAAGTATCCTTGACAGAAAACATCCCTTTGTGAAGGGACAGTTGATAGTTCTGTGTAAGTCAGTATGTTTAGGCATCCAAATTTAAAGATGGCTACCAACAGTAAATTACAGTAATTAAAATCACTTTTAAAAGATTACAACCACAGAAAGAAAAAAAACATATACATGTGTTCCTATAAGAAACATTTAAAACTGTTTACATTACATTCAAGCTATGCTCACAAAGAAAGTATGCTTAAACATTTATTACAGTTTGAGAGGCATAAGAATTTTCCAAAATACAAATTTTCCAAATGTATGATCCCGTTTTTGCCAAAAAATAAATAAATAAAATTTCTTAAATAAAATTGTCATTATGAACATGTGAGGCACCAAAAGCCATACACCTTGGTAAACTGTGCTTGAATTGGTAAAGTCTAAAATTTATATAAAAGGTTCAGAAGTTAAGGCAGTACTGTTTTTTTTCCTTTTCTTTTTTTTTTCTAAGTTCTTTATTAATTACACTTTATTCACTTTGTATCCCCCCTGTGGTTCCCTCCCTCTTCCTGTCCCAATCCCTCTCTTCCTCCACCCTTTGCATGCATGCCCCTCCCCAAGTCTACTGATTTAATATCTAAATAAAATGCAGCTTTAAAAGCATCTGGACAGGTGAAAGATAATCAAAATATTGAGGAGAACATATGCTTCCACAGCTGAATAATGATTTCTTTTATACTTAAGCTTCTCATCATGTTTGATTTTTAAGGCTATAACTTGGAAAAATACCATTACCAAAAATGCGCTTTGATCATAATGTGAAATTTTAAAAAGCCTTGTCAAAACATTTATCTTCCCCCTATCAGTAAAAAATTAAATAACTACATTTAGATTACCTATAAAATGCCAATAATAGTTTATCACTCCAGTACAGCCAGCACTCTGACATTTTCAGTAGTTGCCTGCATTGGATATCAACATTAAATTGTGCTGGTACATAAACAGACAGACTTATCAATATAATTTTTCATCAGTACAGAGCTTTCATCAGAAAATAACAAAGAATAGTCTTTACTCTCTCTGAAAGAGGCAAAAGGCAACATCACACTCATTTCAATGGACTGTTTAACTCACCCCGTGCGATGGGTAGGAGATCCAGCCCAGTTCGCCTTGAATTGTTTTTGAGTCTAGTAGATTAACTGCAAGAAAAGACAAGTACATAAGGAATGTAAGTACAACAAATTATTTTTATTGTTTCTTCTAACAATGTCTGTTTTGACTAGTTCTGTCTAATAAACACTACTGTTCTTTTTGTTAGAAATACATGGTAAACAGAACGAGCAAGCTACAAATAACTGTAGAGCGAGTTAGTGACTCAAAATTGGTCTTTTAAATTTGTACGTTTAGTACACATTATCCATCAAACAGTGATTCATTCTGACACAGTGATACTTTTGCAGGGGAAACAATAGAAATGCAAAATAAGTTAAGACAATAATTGCAACATGAAAATAACTGCAAAGAAACGAATTTGAATCACCAAAGGTTACATAAACTAAGCATCTATTATTAATGTGAACCTGAGCAAGCAGTCAATAAATGAGAATTATATTTTAAAAATCTAAAATATGTCCGTGTTAAAACACAATGTTGGGGGTTGGAGAGATGATTCAGAGGTTAAGAGCACTGGGTGATCTTCCAGAGGTCCCAAGTTCCATTCCCAGCAACAATACCCAGTTCCATTCCCAGCTCACAACCATCTATAATGAGATCTTGTACCCTCTTCTGGAAGGCAGGCTTACATGCAGATAGAACACTCTACATTTAATAAATGAATAAATCATTTTTTTAAACCTACAACATTAATACCCACAATGTAAACCGCACACCCATGTGGTTGCTGGTCTGAAAAATGTACTACACTCTTTCAAAATCCCAATTAAATTGTCTCAAAGGAAACTAAAACTGTGCAACATATTAAGAAAGGAAGCATATATCAAAAATTACTAAACACTTCAAGGAACATTCCTACACGGTCTGCTAGACAATCAAATACAATAAGTGTCTCTAAAACTCTTGACCATTTTAACTAAAATTACAAAACCTGAAATTGAATTCTCGCCTTTATAAATGAAGAAAAAACACAAATTTAATCCGTTTCATTTTTAATAGTTAAAAATAACAAATAAAAAATAATAATAGGGTTCTGAATTAGTCATATTACACTACTAACTATATACCTAAACTGTCTCCAGTATGTGTAAGTTAGCGTGCAAGTGTTCAAATGAAATTTTACCATCTGAGATGACAACATTCCCCTAAGAACCATAGACCACCTAAAAAAACTCCAACAATCAGCATGAGAAGCCCTCTTTTGAGTTGCTTGTCAGAGTTGTTCAAAAAAACTCCTAAATTATGGGCTATTGGTACTGTTGTTTGTTTCTCCTCAGAGGTGGAAGGTAATCTCTACTATTGCTGAAAATATCATACACTTAAGAACCAGGGCACAGATGCCCCTGGGTTAGACCTTACGTGAAAGCTTTCTCCTTGAAGAATGTTTTTTATGTTAGCAAATGGAGACATGTAAGATTCTAAAGGAGGGAAGCAACCAACAATACTATCTAGCTATAAGCCTATGAATCACAATGACAAAGCACGACACAGAAATCCTAAGGGTGTGGTAATGTCATGCATACCTTGAAGGTAGCCACCAGCTCTCCAACTGGTCTTCACTAAAAAAAAAAAAAAAAAAAAAAAAAAAAAAATTCTTGGCTGGCATTGGAAACCTAGCCAGCTGCTATCTGGGGCTATCCAGGACTAGCGAAGTCATGGATTTTGGAGAAGAATCTATAACCCTCACTTTACTAAACTAGAATAATTCATAAATACATTCTAAATATCTGTCCTTATGCCCACCAGATAAGTGTAGTAATTACTGCTTGTCAAGGAAACAACTCTGCAAAATATGGATACTTTTACAAAATAAAAAACAAACAAGCAAACAAAAAAACCCAACCACTCAAAATGTAGTTATTCTGAAGTCCAATCCCAGCTCATACATCTACAACACAGCTCCTGCACCTGAGGCTGAAGGATAATAGCTGATGTTAATGAGGGAAAGGACCAGACTAATCACATCTGCACTTGGATTCTGCTCAAAGAACAGCTAATCCAGAATGAATAATAATACCACAAAGTCAATTAGGTAAGTGTGTGGATTCATTACAATATTTGTACCTCCTCGTAAACTGCATTTTTGGTGTAGTTAATTTATGGTGAGTTCAGAAAATAACACTATTACTCACAATTTTGATCCTGTTATCTACCAAACATTTAATTTTGTCAGCCATGATCATCTTACAATATTACGGTACTAATCCCATCATATTAATATACTTTGAATGACTATGAGTTTATAACAAGCTTTGGAGACAGTGTTCTTGTAAAATTACTACACGGAACAGATCCTCTTTGACTTCTGAATTGTATTTATAATCAACCGTCAACACATGACCTAATAGTGGAGACTAGCTGACATCAAAACCCTTTTTTAAAGTTCTTAATTTAAGTTTATATGGTGTCTCTTGTTTGTATCCGAATGAGAACAACACAGTCCCAAGAATCATAAACACTTTAAAGTTAATTGCTGAATTGGTAATTCCATAACAAATCTCCAGTTACATGCAAGTAGTCCTTTTACAGTGACTACTCCGCATTCAGTACATACTCTTCCTGAGATAATAGATGAAGTCAGGGAGGGGATAAGTATGTGAGGTCAAACCTGTGTGGGAGTTTTCTGGAGCATCTTGCCTAAATCTCAGATGGAACATGATGTTCTAATTACCATATTTCTATAGGTAAGAACCTTGGGTATTGATACTTTCTCCTCTTAAAATACATGAAGATCCTGTAATTTCCTCTCCATTGTTACCAACATTCAAATGCCAGCGGAAGGAGTTATCTGAATTGTCTTGTAAAAGTGCCACATTATAGTCTGAGCTTAAACACAGCTTGTAAGAGGGAAGGATTATTTCCATTTCTAGAAAACTTAAATTCAAATTTGATTTTTAATGAAGAATTAGGGAATTGTTCCTGCAAATTGTGAGGGTCTGTGAATTATTTAACTCTCTATTGTCTGCCTCATGTCAGTTAATTTACAAAAGATGTGAGTTACTCTTTAACACATTTCAAATTCCAATGAATTGATTTTCATATATTTTCCTGGGTCATATGAAACACTATTTTAATAATGACAGAATATTTTCTACTCAAAAAGCTATATGGCATATGTTAACCTTTTTATTTTAAATAATCTCTTGTAATCTTTTTTTTAATTTTTTTTATTAATTACACTTTATTCATTTTGTATCCCCCCCATAAACCCCTCCCTCCTCCCCTCCCGATCCCACCCTCCCTCCCCTTTCTGCATGCATGCCACTCCCCAAGTCCACTGATAGGGGAGGTTCTCCTCTTCTTTCTCATCTTAGTCTATCAGTTCTCATCAAAAGTGGCTGCATTGTCCTCTACTGTGGCCTGATAAGGCTGTTCCCCCCTCAGGGGGAAGTGATCAACAAGCAGGCCAATCAGATTATGTCAGAGGCAGTCCCTCTTCCCATTACTATGTAACCCACTTGGACACTGAACTGCCATGGGCTATACCTGTGCAGGGGTTCCAGGTCATCTCCATGAATAGTCCTTGGTTGGAGTATGAGTCTCTGGGAAGTTCCCTGTGTTCAAATTATCTTGTTCTGTTGCTCTCCTTGTGGAGTTCCCGTCCCCTCCAGCTCTTACTATTTCCCACTTCTTACATAGAATTCCATTCACTCTGCCCATCAGTTGGCCATCAGGCTCAGCATCTTTTTTTTTTTTTTTTTTTTTTTATACAGTGTTCTGTCTGCATGTGTGACAACAGGCCAGAAGAGGGCACCAGATTTCATTATAGGTGGTCATGAGCCACCATGTGGTTGCTGGGAATTGAACTCAGGACCTTTGGAAGAGCCACATCTCCAGCTCCTTACCTTAACTTTTAAAACTGAGATATTTTAAAATTGGAAACATTTTCAATGTTAAGATTCTATGTTAGTGAGGTTTTGGCAATAAATTTTTATTTGGAAATTACTGTTCTAAGTCTAGAAGTCCGTAGTTTTGTATTTAAACATATTTACCACCTGTAGTTTTACCACTTTTAAATAGAGGTATATGGATAGGCAACGGGGCTTACGTTCTTGAGATGGGTCGGCAACTCTCCAGCTTGGGCTTCACTCTTACGTGAGATCTGGTAGACCCAAGAAAGTGTGGTATTTAATGGAAATTCCCATGTTGGAATTTCTTAATTAGTTGGAAATTAGTCCAATTAGAGTAAATGTACTCAAGTTGGTTATAAGAAATTCTGCCGAAGGTTTGGTTATGAGTCTTAGCAGACTTTGATACACTGGAAGGTAGAGTCTTTCAGAGGCCCTCTGCGGTAGGCTCCTGTCCTGTTACCTGTTTCCTTTACGTCCAATGCACATCCTATTTGTCTTTCTAAGTGAGGATTGATCATCTTACCCTGGGTCCTCTTTCTTGTTTATCTTCTTTAGGTGTATATATTTCAGTATATTTACCCTATCTTATAGGTCTATATAAGTGAGTATATACCATGTGTGTCTTTCTCCTTCTGGGATAACCAAACCTTTGGCAGAGTGCAGGGAAACATATGAAAGAAGGGGGAGTTAGTGTGATGTGGAAAGGTTAGGAGCTCCACAAGGACCAAATATATCTGGGTACAGGGGTCTTTTCTGAGACTGATATTCCACCAAGGACCGTGTAAGGATATAACCTAGAACCTCTGCACGGATGTAGCCTGTGGTAGCTCAGTAACCAATTGGTTTTCCATAGTAAGGGGAACAGGGACTATTTCTGACAGGAACTCAATGGCAGGCTCTTTGATCTCTCCACCCCTCAAGGGAGGAGCAGCCCTGCTAGGCCACAGAGGAGGACTTTTCAGCCAGTCCTGAAGATGCCTTATAAAACAGGGTCAGATGAAAGGGGAGGGAGTTCTCCCTAATCAGTGGACTTGGAAAGGAGCAGGGAGGAGATGAGGGAGGGAGGGTGAGTTTGGAAGGGAATGAGGGAGCGGAGCGGTATACAGAGTTAATAAAATGGAACTGATAAGAAAAATTTAAAATAAAATAAAATAAAAAATAAATTCTGGCCCATG